GTCAAATTTTGGTATAAAATTCAAAATTGAAAAAAATATTTATAGATTTTTCAGAGGAAGATTAGTAGTTTTTAATTTAAAAATTCTTCTTAATTTGAAAAACTTCTATATACAGCATTCGATATCTAATAATATAATAATTTACTCCTTCATTCACTAACATAAAGGGTATTCACTAGCCGTTTTTTAGCATACAGTTCAAGCTATTTGTTCTCTTTTTTCTTGCTTTTGCTTTTCGTCCACTTAAAGAGGTTTCAACGGCGAACAGTTTGCAGTCTAAAAATTGAATATTAAATTTTAATTAGCCCGGCCGAGTGGGGCTAAGTGTTGGCATGTGAAATGGATGCGGTAAACGGAGCAGTGGGGCTCGGGCATGTTTATTTACTCTCAAGCTGGATGTGTAAACATCAAGTTGCCAGCCAGATGAGAGGTTAAAATTTAACCTGCCAAAGTGGAGCTTGCACACACACACACATACATCAGATAAGCTAGCAGGCTCAAAGCAAACGAAATAGAACTTAATCACATTTTGCATAAGTGGATCAACTTAATTTGTTAAATTTACCAACTGAAGCAAGCGCTCATCTCGTGTGTTCTTTCATTTCAAATAATTTTGAGAATTAATTAGCAAAAGTCAAATGGGGAAAAAATATGAGAAAAGGAAAATGCACTCTAAAATTGTTCATTTAATTTTGAAACGCTTTTAAATTATTCGAGGCATAGCGTAACTTAACCGTATGACCATCCTTTACTTTGTGGTATATAGAATAAATATTTTATTTCATTCATTTGAAATTTTTGTAATAAACCACTCAACGTGTTCTAAAATAAACTTTAGTTAGATATTAATATTATTTGGCAAATATATAAAAACATCTTGAATACAATTTTATTATAGCTTGAACAAGTTTTATCGGCGTCTGTCATTAGGACTCGCATGGCATTTAATTAATCATAATCAAAGCCAAAAACAATAAAAGTCGATCGGAAACCATAATTTATGAAACGGAAACCGACAACAGCAAAAAGTCAGCACAACCGAGAAAAAATAAAATATGTCAACTTATCAGGTTCGATTTGGCGTTGAGCTAAGCTGGCTGCTATTATTAATCAAATACTTATTTAAATACTTTCATGCAAAAAGCAAAATGCTTTCGATGGGCATCATTAATTTTGTCTGTCACCATGGCTAGATCCCGTCTGATAATGACCCCCAAGCTTATGACTTTCCGAATGGGCCAGCAGGACTCAAGGACTGCGGGGCGTGAACAAACTTTTAGTTAGTCGAACTTAAATAAATGATTTTTTCCCAATGCAAAACTGAGCAATAAACAGCGTGAATCTTTCAGCCATCAAAGAGGAGGCAAAAAAAAAAAACACAGCCACTTGACATGTACATCCATACTTGTGTCAAGTTATCGCAGCAGTGGGCGGGGCTGGGAGAGGTATCTGACATAAATCAGGGGGCTCAATGCCATGCCGAAGCGTCCTCAGAAATTTGCAAAGTCTTCAAAGTAGCCCGACAGGCAGGCAGAAGCACAGTCAAGTTCTCTTCTTCTTCTTTTTTTTTTTTTTTTTGACTTGCTTTGGCTACTTGTGGGACAAGTGGGCCAAAAGCGAAACAAAGACTCGGCGGCTCACAGGAAAATTTAATGCTCTGCCCTAACCAAAGCTCATTTAAGCCCTATTTTGGCATTTGTCAATGCCTGGGGATTTATATGGTATCACTCTCTCACTCACACTCCCATTCTCTCCCTCTCTCTCTCTCTCTGTTTCGCTGTCTGTCTGCGTCTCACTCCCTCTGCATTAGGCATAATAAATTGGGATTCCTTGTGTGGTTTCTGGTTGGGCCTTGATTTGATTTTTGACTGCCAATTCTATTTATTTAGCTCAAATGGAGCTTGCGGGCCCCACAACCACCGGACAATGGGGCCGCAAATAAATAATAAATAATTATTAAATTATGTTTGTACAGCAGCTAGAAATTAGCCCCCTGTCTCCCTCTCTGTATCACACGCTTTGCAAACTGTTGCATAAATTAAATAATTAACATTGGCCATTTATGTTGAATTTAAGCCATCAATTTAATTATTGCCACTCGCTGCTATTCAGAGCTCTGCGGTCAATTGCTATTTAAATACAGCACAAAATCTACCTAGGCTCGCGAAACGAAACGAAAAACAAATATTTATAAAATGCTTAATGCGTAACAAATTTCGCTAATTAGAAAATAAATCGTGTAATTATATGGAATTAAATAAATTGTGCCGCAATTTGTTAAATGTTTAAAGAGCTTTAGTTTCACGCTGTGATATAACACGAATAACTATTTTATTAGTTGGCTTTATAGGAATTTAATACTTTAAAATATTTTAATTAGAGAATACATTTAAGTTCTCTTAGAAATATAATATATATTTTTAAAAATTAAAATTGGTTTAAGTTCTTGAAATTTGATGTTGGAATATCTTGCCTAATAAAAATATATACCAATTTATATTGGGTAAGCTTGGGATAATTTTTATTAAAGGTTATCTATTAATTAATTAATTTATTTATTTATTTTTTTTTTATGTATTAACAAAAACTAAAAGTATTATTTTAATTTTTTGATTGATTCGAGTCTCCACCAATAAAAATCTCCAATTTTATTAAAACATTATTCCATCAGTCATTTAAAATTTGTTATTAAAATGATATTAATATATATGAATTATTGTATAAGAAATCATATCAATAATAGATATAATTTTAACTTAATTAAAATTCAGCAAATATCTCAAACCATTTTATTTTCATTTTGTGGCGTTGCTCAAGTAACTGTTTGTGGGTTAGAATGAAGCTTGCGGATTTCTTTGTTTGATATAGGGCATCAATTATATAACAACAACATCCGACCGCCTAAATTTTCAATTTGTCAATGTCTTTATTTCGTAAGTAGGTGCACAATATGGAGATAGAAGAGAGAGAAGGAGAGAGCGAGAGAGAGAGAGAGAGAGAGAGAGAGAGAGAGAAGGAGAATAGGCTCTTACAACTCCAACGCAACAGAAATGATTAAATTTAATGATTTGAAGTGATTAAGAAAGACAATGTTAATGTTATTTTTATAAGAGAATAGTCATTAGAGATCTGTATTAATAGAGAAAAAAAAAACATGTTCAAATTAACAATGTTCAGAATGCATTGACTGGGACTCAAAGACGAATAAAAATGGTAGAACGCATAAAACTCAGCCGAGATCAACCCGAATTGAATTGAATTGAATGAGTAGGAGTAAATGCGTGTAAGTGAGTGAATCGAGTCGAATGCCAAACTGTCATTTAAACTGTCATCGCTTTGCCCATACCTTTTGGCTACGTCCGACTTCTCTTTCTATGTATTCCTTATGACTGCTTGAGTGTAATTGGACTGCCCGGCTTCGCCAAATTTTTTAATTCATTTTATGCTTTGTTGATTCTATAAAGATGTCGAATGCTTTGAGAGACAACATGTACTCACACTGATATACATTCATTTCATTAAGTTACTCACACGGACTCAACTCAGTTCAATTCGATTGATTTTGATGCTCTCCACTTTCTAATAACAAGAGTCTAGCTTCAATTGCAGTCAAATGGTTAGGCTGAGAAGGCGTGGCAGACACTTTAACTTGATGAGTAGTAAAATCCGAGGTAATCTAGCAATGCATCTCCATCTATATATTTGCTTGTATATATTTATAAATGCATTTCTCTCCGCTGTTCAATATTGAGTCAATTAAAAATTTTACATTTTAATATTGATATTCATATTTTAATAATCTTTATTAAAAAGCCAATTATTAATTATATA